TTCGAAGAAGTTGATGTTGATGGGTAAGGGTTCCATCTGTAGTTTTTTGATTGTTTTTGACTATTGAATTTTTTGTATGGCCGAAAGGAATCTCTGGATTGTGACCGAAAGGTATCTTTAGACTGTGAACGAAAGGAAGGTGAATTTTTGTTTGTTTTGAACATTTTGGTGGTTGCCCGAAAGGCCTCTGTAATATCCTTACATGCTTTAGAAAGCTCTGATCCAAACAGCTCATCTGTGACTTCTTGTGATTTTTTACACAGTTCTTTGTAATCTCCTTGAAATAGATGTTTCAAATGTTCTCTACGTGAGTTAGACATCAAAAAGGAGGCATGAGAAAGAAGGAAAGTGGCATCCTCTGATATTGTGAGTAGTTCACTGACCATCTCATCATCAGGATTTGATTTCTTCAAATCATAAAGTTTATCAGCAATCAAACCTGCAGCATAAATGCCGCTGCAAAGGGTGCCCTGAGTCTTCTGGAGGCCGTGGTCTAAGTCTTTGTTGAATCTTGACATCTTTTTGTAGATGGAGCCGTTTACTGTGGGGACCAGTAAAAACGGAACATTACTAGGACGGTTGTATTTTTCCCGTATATCCTTTACAAAATCTGAGTCGGCAGTTGAGGTGCTGGCTTTACTCATCATATCAGCTAAAGACTTGTTAACATTACTAGAAGTCTTACTTTTAGCGAATGCTGAGCCAAACCTGGAATCGTCCTCTAAATCCGAATCTTCATCAGCCTTTTCTTCCGTTTCCGATTCCTCGTGCCTGTCGTCACTTGTCAATTTTATTCTCTTGGAAGGTCGTTCATCATCATCATCATCTCGTTGTTTAGTGTCTGATATCAATGACAACAACTCTTTAATTGAATTGACAATTGCGTCGATTCCCAAAGCTTGGTGCAAAGAAGCAACCGTGTTTTTGTCTAGTATGGGTGCCGCCATGTTAGGTGTGACGTCAGTCGAATTTCCGGTAATAGATAAACCCGACTGTGCAACCGAATCCGGAAAATTTTTAGTCCCACAAATATCAGATGATCGCTTTTCCGTAAGTTGAGCAACTGGTGTAGCAAACACTGGTTTATTCGGTGTAGAATGGCGAAGCCAGCGAATAGGCGAACCTTGCGCCAAAGCAGGTCCACTAAAAGTGGAGCCAAATGGATGGCGTATTGAATTACACGCATCCTCTGCCTGAATTTGTTGCGAGAAACGAACTCCAATATTTGAGCTAGCATTGCTCAGTTGTGGCAATGCCACAGAAAAGGTGGGATTTGAACCACAATTGTTTGGCATTGAAGCCTCTGTGGGCACTTTAGTCAACTGCTCTGAGGCAGCGTGCCCTGCCATGTTAACTAATGGCGCCAGCATCTCTTGGTCCGTCGCCGTCGATTTCTTCTCAGAACGTGAACTTGGTGAGTCCGAACGATGTTGAATTATAATATACTCCTGATTTTCATCCATAATAAAGTAATAAAATAAAAATAACAGGTGAAAATGTCCACAAATACGTAAAAAACAAAAAGAAATAATTGGATACACAACGCAGGTGGTCTTCTCTGAGTGAGCACTGAATTAACTATGATGGGTAGTGGCGGGAAAACTTTTATTGTTTCTATGAATTAGTGGTCATTATCTGCGCATGCGCTGGATACTGCATATTTAGCTATGAATGTACGTAAGAGGACGAAGGATAATTATGGTATTGAAAACATGTTTCATCTATTAGATGATTTTCTCACTATTGATAAATCAGATATGATTGGAGAAAGAACCATGGCATTGTTTTGTACCCTGTTCAAGTGTTTAAATATTCCTCTGTCTATGAAGAAAAACAGAAGGACCTACCCAATGCTTGAAAGCAGAGAAGATCTACGTATGTGGCTCGAATTCTTAGAGAAATGGAACAAGCAATGCAGATTTTCAGCTATATACTGATGCCTCATCCACCATAGGATATGGAAGATATTTTCATGGACATTGGTTTGCTGAATACTGGCCAAAAGAACTGACTACTTGCATTAAACAACCTATCTCCATGGCATTTAGAGAGTTATATCCTATAGTAGTTGCTGCATTGCTATGGGGACATTTGTGGAGAAGTAAACAAATTCTATTTAATTGTGATAACTCTGCAGTAGTAGAAATAATTAGGAAACGTCGCTCATCAGACCTACCAATTTCAAATTTGATGAGAACCCTGTGTTATTGTGCTGCGAAAAACAATTTTGATATTTATAGTGAACATGTACCTGGAATAACAAATGTCATAGCTGATTCCTTATCTCCGTTTCAGATACAGCATTTCCGACAAGTTGCACCTCTGGCAGACCAGACACCGACACCATGCCCAGACATATATCAAGTAATGTGGAGCTTCAACAAGTAGTGGCGGAATTGTTGGACAAATCAATTTCATTGAACACCAAGGCTGTTTATCAGCAAGGTTTTCAAGTGTATAAACAATTTCTAGCCATGTACAATGTTAGTTTTGATCATAGATGTCCACCTATATCACAAGAAATTCTCATTTATTTTGTAGCCTATTGTCAGCATACTTTGTCTTAAAATATGCCACTATCAAGTTGTATTTAAGTGGTATTAGATTTACATACTTAGAGAAAGGTATACCAAATCCTTTTCAGTCAAACTGTCAATCTATGGAGTATTTGAAGTTGATTTTGAATGCCATTAGAAAAACTGAATCAAATTCTGGTCAATTGACGAGGCTTCCAATCACTGTTGAAATATTGCAAAAAATTTGTTCGGCATTAAGAAAAGAAATATGTTTTTGATGTTTACACAAACATTTTACTTGAAGCTATGTATACGGTTGCCTTTTTTGGTTTTTTCTGATGTGGAGAGCTAACAATTAGAAAAACTTTTGACCCTACTTGTCATTTAACTTGTCAAGATGTACAAATTCAACAGAAAACTGTGAAAATATTTTTGAAAACATCCAAGGCAGACAGGTTTCATAGAGGCACAAATATTGTTTTGTATTCCAATGACACAGACATTTTTCCCTAAAAGCAATTTGCAAATATGTGCAATTTAGAAAATATTCCAAGGCATTAAAAGATGATCCATTTTTTGTAACAAATGTTGGTCTGCCAGTCAAACAAAGCTTTTTTATTGAATGTTTAAAGCAGGTTCTAGACAGAGTAGGTATAGATTCTACGAAATATAATGGACACTCCTTTCGAATTGGGGCAGCCACTTCGGCTGCATGTGTTAGGATGGAAGATCATCTAATCAAATCTTAAGGTAGATGGTCTTCAGATTGTTATGCACGATACATTCAAACACCCCAATTAGTACTTCAAGATGCTCAACATAGCATGTTGAATAGTCAGAAATAATTTCTCTAATCTGGACAACAGAACTAGATGTACATGTATCAAGGTAGCAGTTTGTAATATTGTGTCTTGTCATTAAGAAGGTTACAATTATATTAAACAAGTGCATGACTTAGGTCTATGTTTGTACACAAACTGCCAGCTGCAACATTTCATTGAACATAATTTGCATTTTATTTTCCCATACTTGGGCTCATGCAGCTGTCTTTTCATCTGTCCACAGATTCTAATCCATCTGCATTTTTGGCATGCTCAATGGTTATACCATTGATTTTTCCCAAGCATGGGTAACTTTTTGAATTGAACCATGCTTATTGGTTATGGAATACTCATTGAACTAGTGTTATTACATATTAGCCATTATTGACAACGTTAAAATTACTCTGATTTCTCAGGTGCTAGTGTTCATGTTCATATAGGCATATATTTGCCCTCAGCCTGCATCTTACTCAGGTACCCAACCTGCAAACATACTTCGCATCAGGTGCTAATGAACATGGCGACACATAGACAAGCCTACTTGTCCTCAGCCTGCATTCATATTCATTTCACAGAGTAGTACAAAGTTTTAAAGATTGTGTTTTATGTCGACGTATTCCATTTCCATCTATAGTACTTTGTTTATCTTTTATTCTTAGTTTGTTGCATGAGCCCTCAAGGCAAACATAGTATTTTTGAATAAATTTAGTTACAGTGCAACTTTTTATCTCGTTATTTTTAGAATAAATCTTCCTTTTAAATTGGAATGATAAAGGAAGACATTCATTCTTCTATTCCTTTTATTTACATAGAAAACCAGTTGTCATATTTCTCGTGTTATCACATTCTAGTCCACAAGTTGGAAATGCATGTGTGATGTGTTTTACCATAGAATACTTTGAGATCTAAAGGGTTTTTCACTTGTCTTAACATCTAATACTTTTAATCACATTAGGAATGATCGAGATACAGTCCTTCACCGTATTAATTAAATCTGAGGTCTGTAAGGTGCTGGAGATGAGTTTAATTGCTGTTACTGCGTCATCGTCGACCTCGTGTTTTGCGAGGAAGCCATTTTGAAATTGTAAACAAGGAAACAAAACAGATGATTCGGACAATTCTGGACCAATTGAACCTAACCGTGATATCAGTTTAGCGTATCGTGAATTGAACCATAGGAAAATATACCGCGATATACCGTCAAACGGTTTATCGTTGCACTCTTATGACCCGGGGTGGGGGGGCACAATAGGGAATCAAAGTTTTGCATTGAAATATATAAGAAAAATCTTTGAAAATATTCTTCTCAAGAACCATTGGACCAGAAAAGATAAAACTTACGTGAAAGCTTTCTGAGGTAGTTAGATTCCAAATTTTTCAAATAATTGCCCCCAGGGATTGGATGAGGCCACGACAGGGGATCAAAGTTTTACATTGAAATATGTATAGGAATAATCTTCTCAAGAACCACTGCACCAGAATAGATGAAATTTTGAGGTGAAAGCTTCCCAAGGTAGTGTAGATTGTAAATTGTTCATATCATTGGTTCATTTAATTCGACAATTTTGTTTAGGACCAAGGTGTCCAGATTAATGAGGCGCCACTGTATATTGCTGATTTCTGAAATATGTTTGTGTTATTTATCGTTAATTTCTTTTAACAGGGGAAGTCCCTGTGTCATTGACTGGAAGACATCTTCCAAGCCAAAACCAACATTACGGGATACATATGACTATCCACTACAAATGGTGGCATATCTTGGTGCACTCAATCAGTCTGACTATCTTGTTGAGAGAGCGGTAAGATAATTTACAGAGAAATACCTAGGTTAGGTAAATTTTTACTCAAAGGGGCAAGGTAATTATACCCCAACTAAACAGAGTTGGGGGATATTTGAATCAGCATGACCATCTGTCTGTAAACAGGCCACTAGGTGACCTCTAAAATTAAGGCACCAGCTGGCTCCTAATAAAAAAAATGAGTTGACAATGCAAATTTTTAGTTGTCAGACAAATTTTTCTTAGGCACCAACTTTAAAAGCTGATATTAGTCAATATATACGACCCATTGGGGTATTCATGGGAGGGGGGTCTATTGCAATCATAAAGAAAAAAATCAACTAGAAATATAAGCAACCAAAATGCCAAATTGTTTTAACTGAAGCATGCATGAAAAACTTCATCGTCTCAAGCCACTTTCTGGAGTACAGCTCTCTCCTACCAGCCAGAATTGGAGAGGATATACATTTTTGGCCATGGTTTGATAAAACTCTTAGATTAAAAAAGTTTTTATTGAATATTTCTTTTTAAGAAACTTGGATCTCTGACATGAAATATTCTTTAAAACTATAAAAAATATCAAGGATTATTAATACAATTTACATTTTATGCTTGTTCCTACAATTACAAGCTAACATTAACCTAACATTAACATCTAGACGATATTTCTAAGAGTTGCCTCAGATGCTAGATTTGAACCACATTTTCAACATAAATGACCAGGATTAAGTCATTCCAGTGTAAATTCAAGCCCTACCTAGACCAAACTTGCATGGATGATGCATCAAGGAATTAACACCCTCAAAGAACAAGGTACGGTTTCAATACAAATCTTGCCCTGTGTTTTTGTTAAAAATAAAAGTGATGAAAAAAATTAAAACTCGTGCTTTCTGGATCATTGAAATTCCATGCATAAAGATCATACAAATCATTTTTCTCACATGACCTTCTAAATGCTAATTGTGAGTTCATAAATTTGTGCATTTTCCCATATTTTCTTAAAAAGTTTTTCAATGGAATTTTCTTTCAGATAATATTGTCCACAGGCATCGCCCACAAAGATTTTTAGATATGTTATTTTTCAAAGAATTTTACACAACATATCCGAAAATTAAAGTGGGCGATGGCTGTGGACACTATTTTCTAAGGGAAAATAACCCTTGAAATTGGTCATTTTGAGGCTTTTTCTGTTTAAGATAGAGAAAAGTATCAAATTAATGATGTCATATTTCTAGAATGGTACTTCTTCATGCCATATTCTTTCTTGATTCATCATTGTCATATACTCAACTAAAATTTAAGCCAGTTTCATAAGTTTTTGATAACATTAAATTTTTAGGGCACAATAAAGCTAAAACCGTACCTTCTTCTTTGCTTCAGATGCTGGATTTGACTTACATATTTTGGATGAGTGACTTGTAAGTTTTTGAGAACAATAAGTCCATTCCCAAGTAGCAGCAAGCCCTATTGGACAAAAATTGTATAAATGTTGCATCTAGGGATGCACACTAGTAGAGAATTAGTTTAGTGTTGGGCTTTGCCATACTTAAAGATAACATTCGTCGAGGTGAGCTCCGTAAGTTTTGATAACCTATGGGTAAATTCAAAAATAATTACCTCCAAATTGAATTTAAAAAAAAAAAAATTCAACTACCAGTAACATATTTTTCACTTATATCATCCTATCATTCTAGGTAAATTTCCTGAAGTCACAAGAGAATAGACAATTGGATAAAAAAGTTTCAGAATTTTTATTGGTAAAACTTTATTTGAAAAAAGAAAATACCACAACATCTGAAGACTTTCTAAATCAAAATCATAATCAAAAGAAATCATTATTTTTTTATGCTTCAGAATGGTATCAGGGATATAAAAGATTAGATTTAAACTTTGATTGAGTTTCTTCTCTTGTATATGTGGGAAAAAATGGCTTTTTGATTGTTATTTCAGGGACAACATTAACGGTTGTCCGATTGCCTGGGGCAAGTAAATTCTCAGTTCGAGCAAGCCAAACTGTCAACGTACTTGTCCAATCGGGCAAGTGAATTTTTCTGATAGAAATGTATATTGTTATCTAGGGTACATTAACTTATAAATAAAACAATAAATTGAACACTTGATTTCTCCCAGATACATGGCTGACATTGTTTTTGCATTCGTAATCCCTTGGTAGCGTTTCTAGAGTATACTGTTAATTTAATAATCAGGTTTGTTATCTGTTGTCTTTCGTGGTAAATACACTTAACGTTCTCTTAAAAATTATAACACACATTAACCCATTCTTAATTTGTAAATCAGTTCATTGTTTTGATATTTTTAGCTCACCTGAGCCGAAGGATCAAGTGAGCTTTTCTGATCACATTTTGTCTGTAGTCCGTCTGTCCGTCCGTCCGTCTGTAAACTTTTCACATTTTCGACTTCTTCTCAAGAACCACTGGGCCAATTTTAACCAAACTTGCCACAAAATATCCTTGGGTGAAGGGGATTCAAGTTTGTTCAAATGAAGGGCCACACCCTCTTTCAAGGGGAGATAATAAAGAATTAGTGAAAAATTAATAGCATTATTTAAAAATCTTCTTCTCAAGAACCACAAAGCCAGGGAAGATGAAACTCATGTGGAAGCATCCTCAGGTAGTGTAGATTCAAGTTGTTTAAATCATGACCCCCGGGGGTAGGGCGGGGCCACAGTGGAGGATCAAAGTTTTACATAGAAATATATAGGAAAACCCTTTAAAAATCTTCTTCTCAAGAACAGCAAAGTCATGATGAGTCATATTTATATGGAAGCATCCTCAGGTAGTGTAGATTCAAGTTTGTTCAAATGATGACCCCCGGGGGTAGGGCGGGGCCGCAATGGAGGATCAAAGTTTTACATAGAAATATATAGGAAAAACCTTTAAAAATCTTCTTCTCAATAACAGCAAAGCCCAAATTGGTCATATTTATATGAAAGCATCCTCAGGTAGTGTAGATTCAAATTTATTCAAATCCTGACCCCCTGGGGTAGGGCAGGGCCACAATGGAGGATAAAAGTTTTACATAGAAATATATAGGAAAAATCTTCTTCTCAGGAACAGCAAAGCCCTGATTGATCATATTTATGTGGAAGTATCCTCAGGTAGTGTAGATTCAAGTTTGTTCAAATCATGACCCCCTGGGGTAGGGTGGGCCACAAAGGAGGATCAAAGTCTGAAATAGAAATGTATAGGAAAATATCTTCTGATGAAGAACTGCAAAGCCATGATTAGTCATTTTGATGTGGAAGCATCCTCAGGTAGTGTAGATTCAAGTTTGTTAAAATGATGACCCCAGGGGATACGGATGGGGCATAATGGGGGATTGAAAATTTTACATGGGAACATATAGGAAAATATCTTCTTCTCAAGAACTGAAAATCATGTTTAGTCATTTTGATATGGAAGCATCCTCAGGTAGTGTAGATTCAAGTTTGTTCAAATGATGACCCCTGGGATAGGGAGGAGCCACAATGGGGGATCAAATTTTTACAAAGGAATATATGGGAAATTTTTTTAAAAATCTTCTCAAGTACAACAAAGCCATTTGTTATATTGACATGGAAGCATCATCAGGTAGTTTAAAATTCAAGTCCCCCCCCCCCATTTTCCATTATTTTGCTGAGAGAAAAAAACACAATATGACTAGTAGACTAATTATTCTCGAACAATTAGAGGTCTTTCCACCTTCTTTAAAGAGCTAAATCCATGAAGGGGCTAAATCAGCCCAGTCATCAAAATAAATGAAACATTCTCACATAAAACGCTAAGATTTGTATGTTGTAAAACAATTTATTTTTTAACAATATCTTTTCTGGTTTTCTTTTTACATTATTTTAAATTTGGTATTGTTTTCCTTATTAATACTGTCGCGTCATTACGTTGATGTTACATACTTTAACGTCGTGACAGTGACATTTTATATAAGAAAGTAACATATGTACGTTAATGGAATAAAAATAACCAATATAGGCTCTTCTGTATAATTTTGGGAAAATTTTACTATGAATTTTTCAAGAAGTTCTGAAAACTTTTGGTTTATTTTTAGGTCACCTGAGTCACTCAGGTGACCTATTGCTATCCGTTCTCGTCCGTCGGCGTGCATCTTGCGGTGTGCATCGTGCGTTGTGTGTTAACAGTTGAACATTTTTAGCTTCTTCTCTGAAACCCCTTAACCAATTTCAACCAAATTTGGCATATAGCATCTATGGGTGAAGGGGAACAAAAATTATGAATTTCATGGTCCCTGCCCCTTGGGGCCTGAGGGGTGGGGCTAAAACCACCAAAAATAATGCAATCTTTAAAACTCTTCTTCTTTACTCCTGGACATCAAGCAGTCAAACTGTTGGCATCATTGTAATAAGCATTGAGCCCTCTACCAAAATTGTGAAATTCATGGCCCCAGGGTCAGGGGTTCTGGCCCCAGGGTGGGGCTATATAGATCATATAGTGAAAGTGCATTATTTCTTTGAAAATCTTCTTCTCTGCTCCTGGGTATTAAATAAAGTAACTAAGTACAAAGTTATGAAGAGCAAGAGTGCCTCTTCCAAAATTGTGAAATTCATGGCCCCAGGGTCAGGGGTTCTGGTGTTAGGGCAGGGCTCTATTGATTATATAGTGAAAAGCATTAATTCTATTAATTAATCATTAATTAATCCTGTCTGCTCCTTAGTGTTGAGTTGAGTTGATAAATAAATTGCTTAGCTATGATGAAAATGGGAGCTTCGAACAGAATTTTTAAATCTTGTGGTCCTAGGGTCAGGGGTTCTGGCATAACGGGGGGGGGGGGGGGGGGGGGGGGCTTTTGATAATATAGTGGAAAAGTGTTAATTCTTTGAAGTCCATAGTTATGATGATGAGGGTAACTCTTCCAAATTTGTAAATTTCTTGACCCTTGGTCTTGGGTTCTGGTGTTAGGGTATGGCTTTGTTGAAACTGTAGTGAAAATGCATTGTACCTGTGAAATTCTTCTCTGCTTCTGGGCATATCGGAAGCAAACTGAGTAAA